GCAGGGAGCTGGATTAAGGGCAGAGGAATCAGGACTGACCCAGTGCTCCAATCTGAGGTATGGGTATCTGAGGCAATACGATGCCCGTCCGCACAGATGGTTTTTTCTTTCGTTTACAGGAAGTTTCATGACGTTTTCCATTCCTTGGGTTAGAGCTAACTAATCACGATGAATGATCATTATCTATAATGGGATTTGGTTTGCTAATAAATGATCTTGATTTTCCTGTTGGTTTGTTGAGAGGATATGGAGGATGTGGTCCCAGCTGTTTCTATTGCAGGTTCTTGTCTGTGTCAGAGAGGGATTCATAAAGTGCAAGAACAAAAGCAGAATTTATTCAGAGAGATAGAAGGGGTGGTGGCACGCACTCTGCAGTGCATGTGGGCTGCCCGAGAGGGGGACTGCCTGCACCCCGATGTGGCTGGAGCCTGGGTTGGGTGGAGGCTGGTGCTCTAATTGAGTATCCAAATGGGGTGGGCTTTGGTTGTGGTGAGAACATGTGTGTTCCTCAGGGCATCTTCAGGATGGCGGCTCAAGTGCATCATGGGAAGGCAGGTGCGCTGAGTTGGCATGGAACAGGGAAGGGTTTTGTTTGTTTGTTTTCCTTTAGAGGTGCTGGGCTGTGGCACAGTGAGTGCTGGAGACCACAGGCCCTACAGTCACGAGTTCCCTGCCTGGCCCGGGTCAGTGTTGGTATGGAAGTTGGATAGGTCTTTGAACATGAGTTAGGAAGCACTCCTTCCTTTTTCCTATTCTGTTTCTCTGAAATTGGGGTTAGTGATCCCTGAAAAGTTTGGTCGAATTAGCCTGTGGGGTCTAGCATGATGGCTCAGTAGCTAAATCTGTTTGGAGAACTTTGCAGGAGGGTTTCCAGTGAGTGTGGGGTCACAAATTGGGAGATCCTGACCGAGAGTCAAATTTTCAGCTGCTTTCACAAGTAAAGCCTTAGCTGCTGTCCCTCAAAGGCAGGATGGTCATCTGGCTGCTACTGGAGCCAATGTCTTTGATAAATAAGCCATTGTCTGCCATGGCCCTGGGGTTTCAGTAAGAACTCCTTTAACTATCCCTTCATTTTCTGCCACAAACATTTGGAAAAGTTTGTGCAAATGAGGCAGTGCCAATGCACGTGCTGATATTAGGGCCTGTTTTCAGAGTCTTAAAGGTGGTTTGGGTTTTCTTTTAATATTCTTCGTCTGTGGAAGTGGCCTGGAGGCTGTCATCCACATACGGCAAAAGTGTTACCCCCTGGTGTTGTGCTCTATAGCTTATAAGTCACTGCTAAGATCCTCATCGAATAGGGTAAGGGTATGTTTAATCCTTGGGGCAATCGAGTCCAGGTCAGTTGGCCCAAGAAACCCACCTCAGGATATGCCCATTCAAAGGCAAAAATTGCATGGCTTACCTCCACCATGGGAAGACTGAAGGAAGCATCCTGTAAGTCCAAAACAGTGTACACCTGCCAGTCTGGAGGCAAGAGGCTTAACAGGGTATAAGGGTTAGGGACAGCTGGGCAGATAGTTTCTGCCCTCCTGTTCAGCTCTCGTAGGTCATGCACCAGCCTTTAGTCATTGGTTGCAGGCTTCTGAACCAGCAGCATGGAGTTTTCCATGGTGATTGGCAGGGTACCAGAATTCTGGCTTTCCCCATCGCTGAATATGCACCTCAGGGCCCTTCTTCGCCTCCAGGGCTTACTAGGTGCTGCCTTACTCATGCTGGGTAGCATGACTAGTTAACTGGACCACCACTGGTGGGTGCTGGCGGCCCTGTTGAATTAGTTTCAGCCCATACCCCAGGAATATTCTCTCAGAGCTTGCCAAGGAAAGGAGATGGCTTGTCCTTTTCCACCACAGACGCAGTAATGAGATACTCCTCCTGACATCACAGATGTTTGTCCTTCCACAGCAAGTGAAGTGTGGTCCTGGAAAGCAATGGCGGGTCGGGGTTTATATAAGAGGCCTCACCCCTGTAAGGGATAAGGGCAGTCAGGAATAACCAGGAAGGAAGGAGTTACCATTATCTTTCCCAAGTTGGTCACTCTGGCTTCAGTCCAGTGGTATTTCTGTCTTTCCTGTACCCCCCTGGATAGAAGTACTTTCTCGCAATAGAGGTCCAACTTTATAATTAAAACTGAGTAGGTTGCCCCAATGTCCACCATCAAATTAGCAGCCCCCCCCCCCACCACACACACACGCTTAATGATACCATGGGCTCTGGAGTGGGTTGGTCTGCTAGAACTGGGGTCTCATTAGTCTGAATTCATCAGTTCCAGGATCCTGGGGCCCTTATTCTTCCTTTGTGGGTACTCATTCTTCCAAGGACCGTTTTCCTTGCAGTAGGCTCACTGATCCCTGTCTGACGGAGTCCTTTGTCAGGCTCTTGGGTTTCACGCCTGATTTCTGACTTCCTTCTTTGGCTTTCTTTCTACTGAGTCCCTTAACCACTTGCGCCACCGCGCCGGGCCCTGTGCTGCCACTCCTGGTTTGTCTGTGCTCCTCGGAGTCTCTTATCATAAACCTTCCTGGCTATTTCAACCAGCTCAGACAGTAGTTTTCCTGAGTTCCTTCCTGTTTTTGTCATTTTCTTATCTCTGGAGTGGACTGTGATGTAAAGACAAGGTTGAAAGCCTGTTTGTTCTCTGGAGCCGTGCGGTCTTTGAGGTGTAAGTTCAGTAGGCCTCCGGTAGCTGCTCAAGAGACATGGCAGGTGACTCATGGGGCCCTGCATAGTTAAAGTGACCGGAGACATGTTAGTGGGCTTCCAGGTGGCTGCCTATGCCGACTAATAGAAAATGGCGATAATTGGTGAGAGCTACCTGCCCCCCTTTCTGAATTATACTTCCAGTCTGGGTGGGGGACGGGGGAGGCCTGTTCCAGTTGTGTTGGGTCATCAGATGGTGCCCCATGCGGACGCTGTACAGCCTTTTGATCCACCCCCTCCCACCGATGGTCTGTGACTCTGGCAAGCATAGCCCATCCGCTGTCTTGGCTTTTTGCTATCAAATGTGGTAGACTGGCCTGGACCAGCCCAGCCCAAGTCCAGTCCCAACTCTGACTGGTGGGTGCTGTAACCTAGCTCTAGCCAGCATGGTCTGCATTTCATTGTTTTGATTCAGAGAAGGCTCTTTCACTGTTTTGAATGAAAACTTAGTGAAAATCTGAGCCCATGTTTTTTTTTTTTTTAAAGATTTATTTTTATTATTTTTTTATTGGAAAGGCGGATATACAGAGAGGAGAGACAGAGAGGAATATCTTCCATCCAATGATTCACTCCCCAAGTGAGCGCAACGGGTCGATACTATGCCGATCCGAAGCCAGGAGCCTCTTCCGGGTCTCCCACGTGGGTGCAGGTTCCCAAAGCTTTGGGCTGTCCACGACTGCTTTCCCGGGCCACAGGCAGGGAGCTGGAAGGGAAGCGGGGCTGCTGGAATTAGAACCGGCGCCCATATGTGATCCCGGGCGTGCAAGGCGAGGCCCTTTAACCACTTGCGCCACCGCGCCGGGCCCGAGCCCATGTTTTGAAATGTAATTTCTTCGTTGCAGATCCACCTAATCACCGCCTGGAAGTGGTTGCTCTGTGGAAAGCTTCGTTTGCTTCCTACAAGTCCAGGCTTAGCCCAACCCCTAGGGGGTGTCTTGTAGTCTTTGTGGACATGTGTTTGTGGGTTGATCTGCTTTTATATACAAGGAACCTGTCTCAGCTCTTTAATGCGATGCTGAGGGCCCTATTAGTAGTCGGAAGAATTGCCCCGCCTTCCCCCAGTAAACCCAGTTGACGCTTGTAAGTACTTTGAGTTCTTTTTTGTAACACTAAATGTGTTATTTCCTTGCTGTCTAATAAATCAGAATTCAGAACCCTTAAAAATTTAAGAAAAAAAGTTAAAATGGAGATCAAATATCAGCTCTAGTGCAACACACAGCAAGGGAAGGTGTTAATATTCAATTCATGTGGAATATTTAAATTGCTGTTAGGATACTGAGTAGTACAGTCCACAACAACATGGTTGCACCAGTTTTAATTATGTCAAAATATGTAATTGTGTAAATCTTTGTACTTTTTATGCCATAGCCTAGTACCCTCAAGAAAATACTCATTTTTCTTTGTTTTCACTTGTTATCGTTTGCAAATAAAACTACTCTGTGCAATTAATTAATTAATTAAAAAAATCACTTGAACGAATGCTTTGCTGGCAGAGGAGACCTAAAGTGAGGATCCTATCTGTGCGTTGTCCAAACAACTGCTGTTTCTTCCATTCAGATTAATCAGGCTTCCAATGACTGGGACAGAAGTGCTGCATTAACTTTGAGAAGAAGAATAGGAGTGAGTTGAGGAGGATAGGCAAGGCCCTAGGAACTATTTTGATATCACATTTATTGATGTCCCATGGACTAGGCAAGTAAATTAGCAAAGCCATGTTATCATTGAAGGCTTGGGAACTCGAGGTGTCAGTTTGGACTATTAGTAGAAAGCTGTATATAATAAATATGTAATATATCCATTTTTCCTATACCAGTGTTGACAAAATTGCACTATGAAAGATGCCTGACTTCTACACAATTTTCAGTATATAAAGAGATATTCCATTCAAAGCCCTGATATGGAGTCCTGTACAGTACAACTGTGGAAATAGGGAAATGTATGATACCACCCAAGTATCTTTTGTTTAGATTTAATGACAGTATGATGCTCTTTCTATTGCTGTGTTGCAGTTTGAGCAGTTGTCTTTGAAATAAGAAGTCACTTCTTGGTAGTAACTTTTCCAAATAAGTAGTAAATAGATGTTTGCATTCACTTAGCTTGTGCTTAATTTCTTCCAATGGTTGAAATTATTACTCCTCCAAGGAGGTCTTCCCAGCCCTTGCCATCTGTAAAATACTATTCTTGCCCAGGGAAGCTGATTGTTTTTGCATCTATATCCTGTACAATTTCTGTCACAACACTGGGGCCTAGGAATAAGCAAGACCAGCCCTCCCCTAACTCCGTCCATTCACCTTCTCTTCCAGGTACCGCCCTGAGGGCCGCTCCATGTGTCCAAGGCCAGAGCCGGTGAACACACAGGCAGTAAGTTGTTTCTTCCTCAGCTTATCTCACATTGTATTTTAGAAGCTTTAAGAGGATGTTTTAATTACAGTGCAGAAACAGGTATACACTAAGCAAAATGGTCAAGACTAAGACCTCAGACCTATCCAATCTGATGGAAACCTGATTGTCTCCTGGTTTTCTGATGCCTTAACAAGACATGTAGTGCATGTTTCAAATTGGATCTTAGAATTTTTTATTCTTGTGTGGTGCTAGTTCTTATTGAATTTTATTTTTTCCTTTTTTTAATTGGAAAGTCAGCTACACAAAGAGGAGAGAGAGAGTAAGATTTTTCCATCTCATGATTCACTCCGCAAGTGGCCACAAAGGCTAGAGCTGCACCGATCTGAAGTCAGGAGTCAGGAGCCTCTTCCTGGTCTCCCACATGGGCGCAGGCTCCCAAGGCTTTGGGCCTTCCTCTGCTGCTTTCTCAGGCCACAAGCAGGGAGCTGGATGGGAAGTGGGGCTGCAGGGATACCAATCAGTGCCATTATGGGGTCCTAGAGCATACAAGGTGAGGACTTTGGTCACTAGGCTACCATGCCTGGCCCTCTTGTGTGATATTAACTCTGAAATCGTCTTTATTGGTGTTATATATGATATAATGGAAGTGGATTAATGCAAATTTCAAAATAAAGACTCAGCATTTTGCAGTGATAAGAATTACCTAATGTTAAACAAACAAAAAAAAAACCAATAATTTTAAGTTTTCAGTTTTTTGAAATTACTGAAATAGTGTGATTTCTAATGGCATTTGAAAGGCTATATTATACTCGTGAGCTCTGACAGGATTGTGTGGGGAACAGTATCTGCTATACATGTTTTAAAAGATTATTCATCGTTTCTTTCATTCGGCCATTTTAAAGGCTGAGTGACAGAAAGGAAAGGAGAGAGAGAGAGAGCAGACATGTCTTCCATCGGTGGCTTATTCTCCAAATGGTCAAAATGGTCCAATGTGGGTCCCAACAGTGTTCCACCAAGAGAAGGAGAGGAACCAGCTGTTTATTTTAAGCTCCCACAGAAGTTTCCCACCAATTTACTTGGCCATCTCCCACTGTTTTTTTTTTTTTTCTTTTTTTATTATCATGTTATGATACAGTTCCGTAGGCCCTGGGATTTCCCTTACTTTCTCCCCAAGTATTCACCACCCCACCCCACCCCCCACGCTCAACTAGCTACTTAATTCTCCCATATCATTACAACAGCATAATTCCTCATAAACAGACGTAAGTCCATCATTGCAGGCATGGACAGTGGCAGAGTCCAGCATCCCATTGTCAAGACACAACCAACACTTTCACTGAAAGCCCACCCTCAATTTGGGAGTAGTAATGCACAGAGCACGCATTTCCACTGTTTCCAAAATCACTGTTTTCTGATGAGAGACCATTAGTGGTTTTAATCATTTTTCATTTATATTTATATCTTGTATCCTAAGCAAATCTTAAAATATTTTTCACCATTTATTCACTATGTGAAAGTCGGTGTCACATAAAGGGGAAGAGAAAGTGTCTTTCCAACCAGTGGTTCACATGCCCAAAAGCACCAATGGCTGTAGCTGGGTGAGTGTGAATCCAGGAGCCAGGAGCTTCTTACAGGTTCCCCAAATGGGTAGTAGGGGCCAAGCACTTGGGACATTTTCTGCTGCTTTCCCCATCCATTAGCATGGAGCTGGATGAAAATGGAACAGTTGGACATGAACCAGGGCTCATATGAGATGTTTGTGATGCCAGCAGTGAATTTATTCATTATGCCACTATGCCAGCCCCATGATTTTACCTTGTTGTTTTTTTCTTTTTGTTTTTTTTGTTTCTTGTTTTTTTTTTAACTCTATCAGGCAGCTTTTACAAAGAGAGAAGACCAGAGAGAGGTTTTGCATCTGCTGGGTCACTTCTCACATGGCTGCAATGGCCGGAGCTGAACTGATCCAAAGCTAGGAGCCAGGAGCTTCTTCCATATTCCCACATGAATGCAGTGTCTCAAGGACTTGAGCCCATCCTCTGCTACTTTCCCAGGCCATAAGCAGGGAGCTGGATGAGAAGTGGAGCAGCCAAGTTGTGAACTGGTGCCCATGTGGGATGTCAAGCACAGGTGGAAGATTTTCCTTCTGCACTACTGCACTGGTCCTGATGATCTTACTTTGACTTATGGTTCAGTATATATTTTGTCATGGTTCCACAGTGGTGGATAAATGTTGTCACTTTATGTTTAGAATTAACTGATTTTTAGTCTCTTTTCTGTGACTATAAGATGAGTATATATTTTCTAACTTCTTTTTTCTTGTTGTTTCTTGTTTAATTGTGTGTACTTTTGTTTCATGTCTTATCAGCTTTTGTTTTTAGTTAACATTTCTGGTATATAATCTGTTCTGATGAATTATCTCTCTACCAGGCATATATGAATAAGTGTATGTGTAAATATACATGTATACGTATATTTGTATGCATAAAGTTTACAAATTTCACATGAAACAAAATACAAAGTTGAATGATACTTGTACTTTATCTCCTGCCTGTATTTCCTACCCACCCTCCTTGTTGTGTTGCTGTAGTTTTCAAGAGGATAAACTAAGGCCATGCACAATGATCAAATCCCAGAATGCAACTCTGACACATAGGAATTTGGTTTTGTTTGTTGTTGTTGTTGTTTTCTGTTTGTTTGTACAAAGACTTACTTATTATTATTGGAAAGCCAGATTTACAGAAAGGAGAGACAAAGATCTTCTGTCCGCTGATTCACTGCCTAACAGGAAGTGAATTTCATCTGCAACAGCTGGAACTGAGCTGATCCAAAACCAGGAGCCAGGAGCTTCTTCTGGGTCTCCCACATAGGTTACAGGGTCCCAAGGATTTGGACCATCCTCTGCTGCTTTCCCAGGACACAGGCAGGAATCTGGAAGGGAAGTGGAGCTGCCGGGACTCAATCCAGCACCCATATAGGATCTCAGAGTGTGCAACTTTTTATAATTGGCATTTGTAATAATGTGTGATTTGTTTACTTAGGAGATAGAAAAAGAAGGACTATGAAGTAGAGGTATTAGATATTCGCTTATTTCCCAGATTATTAATCAGTTGAGATTATCCGTTATAGTTTGAATGATCTGTGACTGCTTTAAAAAAATATATATGATTAAACCTCTTTTCATTTGATTGTTTTATACTCCTGTTATTCATGTTAACTACAGTAATTTCACTTTCTTATTCAACTCTCCACTTAGTGGAAAATAAAGATCTTGAGTATAATGCAAATTCAAAGCATGTTTTTTCAATTGCTTCAGAAAGCAGCCAGCTGTAAAAGGGAGGATGTAAAAGAAGTATATTCTGAAAATAGTGTGTATAAGCTATATAAATTGTTCTTTATTAAAATTAACAAGTAAATAAATGACTAGGAAAAACAAATACCAGGTCACTGTTTAATATCAAAGTGCTATCCAAATGTATACACAGAAAGGCCCAAACACGATAGTCTAGTGTCTCTTTATGTGCTGACATTCATATGGAATCTCGTTCATGAACTAACTGTCCACTTCCCATTTAATTCCCTGCTTTTTACCTGGGAAAGCAGCACAGGCGGACTAAAAACCCTGGGTCCCTCACCCACATGGGAGACATGGAAAAAGTTTTGGGTTCAGATCAGCTCAGCTGTGTCCATTGCAGCGACTTGGGGAGTGAACCAGCATATGGAAGATCTTTCTCCGTATATCCTTCTCTTCCTTATCTTTAAAACATACATACACACACGCACAAGAAGGATTTACTGTGTCTTTCCACTTGGTGATCTAGAGCTGAGGAGGAATGTTCTGTTACAGGTTTTGGTATCCTTTGAAGACCTGGTTGTGAACTTTACCCAGGAGGAATGGACTATCATGGACACTGCTCAGAGGACCCTGTACAGGGATGTGATGCTTGAGACCTATAGCAATCTGCTTTCCTTGGGTGAGTGAAATTCTGTCATGCACAAGCAGAATACCTGCTTCTCAGTTGACAAAAGAAAGAGCAGTTTATAAATCATAGTGCTTGAGGCAATAAAGAATGCGAGCCTCTGCCCTGCAAGAAACAATTCATAACAGCGTTTTTGTGTCATAGATCCTGGGACCAAGCTCTTATCCTGTAAGACCCTAGGCTGTTGATTTCACAAAGTCTGTCATCATTTCTGATTAACAGGATACCACATTATGAAGCCTGATGTGATCTTAAAGTTGGAACAAGGAGCAGTGCCATGGAGTGTGGAAAAGCCTGTGAAGCAACAACTTTCAGGTAGGTCAGCACATGCTGGGCAGAAAGGTTGATCCATTTTAGGACTCATCCCGAGGGACAGTTACTGCCGTGCATTCGACACGCACATTCTACAGCCTCCATGGAGTAGAGAGATAGTGTCATGGCTCAGACACCAGCATTCTACAGTCTGTGGAAGGAGCTATATCAGTATTACTGGAAAGGCAGATTCACAGAGAGAAGGAGGGACAAAAAGCAAGTTTACCCATCCATTGGCTCTTACTCAGGTAGTTAGAATAGCTGGGGCTGGGCTGGTCTAAATGCAGGAAGCAGAAACCAGAATCTTCTTCTGGATCTCCCAAATGGTGTGGAGTCCCCAGGCTTAATCTGCTGCAATCAGAGAGCTAGATGGGATGTGGAGCAGCTAGAACATAAATTGACCCCTGTATGGGACCCAGACACCTGCAAGGGGAGCATTAGGTAATTGAAGCATCATGCCAGGCCCAAGGCACGGAGTTCTTTCACGTGATGAATTGTACTTCTGCATTTGGTTAGCTACAATACTTGTTCTTATTGGAAAATTGAAGGAGCTCTCTTGTGTCATTATTGATCACTTCATTCTGCTTATCTCTGATGAAGTAGTAAGTAAAAGAAAAATTTAACCTTTGGAAACGTTTGAAAATTAATCCAACATGGGGTTGTATTTGTCTCTCTGGAAGGGTAAAATAAGGAAGAAAATGGAAAATCTCTGGGATAAAGCCTGTTTCAGAACATCAGAAATCATGATGTTAAGTGTGATACTGCGTTGGACTACTTAGTAAGTCATAGACTCACTAAGAGAATTAGCAGATTCTGCTTGCCAAACCCAAATGAACCTGGAGCCAGCAGTGTGGCATCAAAAGCTAAACCTCTGCTTGCAGTGTCAGTATCCTATATGGATGCTGGTTCGTGTTCCAAGGCCAGATACACCAAAGGAGTCACGTTGAATACATCGTTTTTTTTTAAGACCTCTGTGAAATTAGACGCAATTCATCCTCCAATACAGAAATCAACAGCTTTTAGGGTTCAGATTATTAAAATATTTGTGCACACTAGAAAGTCTAGGAGTATACAGGATTATGGATATCCCAAGGATTTAGAAAACACATTGCAAAAAGCTGAGTACAACCTGAGTTGCAGAGACCTTTTCTTTATACCAGTATGGACATCATACTCATGATGATGTATTGCGATATTATTTCTTAGGGTGCCGAGGTGTAAGGATATCAGGTTTTCTCAGGAAAATGCAGAAAGCTGTCAGTATAGAGTCTAGACAAAAGGAGGGGTTACACTTGAAAAATCCCAGAGAGCTATGGTCAAGCCCCTTGGAAGACTAAGGATGAGACATCTCTTTATCTATATTCTGCTTTTAATCTGTAGTCTTCAGTATCGTACAGACTCATGTCCCACTGCTCTACCTGTAACTAAATGCTACTGAGATTTTTTTTTCACTTGGGAGCTGAGAAATCTAGAGAACCACACATACACAATTTTATTACAAGAAAGTCCAGAAGGAGACTATGGGAGAAGATGACTATTGGAAAGCATTTAACTTACTGTTACAACCAATGAGTAAATATGCTTACTCAGTGTTGAAATGCTTGCTTATTTTCATTTAATTGAAAACCAGAGTAGAGGGAATAGAGTCATAAATTAAGAGTGGTGTCTTCCATTCACAGGTTTATTCTAATGCCTTCAGCAGTTAGACTTAGGCCAAGCAGAAATAAAAAATGGAACAGCACATTGTGCTTTCATGTGTGCCACAAGATGTCAAGCACCGTGATCAGCCTGCAAAATAGATTAGTGAGAAGTGACACGCTGAGCAAAATAGAGGGAACTCAAACTGGCACTGTTGGAAGCTGACAGGCATCTCAGGCATTAATTTCACTTTCTGTACTCCATCATTTGCCCTTCCTCACTGCCACCACTTATCGTATAAAATTTGAAATAATTAAAAATATTACTGGATAGGGCCCAGCAAGGTGGCACAAGTGGTTAAGGTCCATGCCTTGCACACCCGGGATCCCATATGGGCGCTGGTTCTATCCAGGCAGCCTTGCTTCACTTCTATCTCCCTGCCTGTGGCCCAAGAAAGCAGTCGTGGACGGCACAAAGCTTTGGGACCCTGCACCCGCGTGGGAGACCCGGAAGAGGCTCCTGGCTTCGGACCGGCATAGCATCGGCCATTGTGCTCACTTGGGGAGTGAATCATCGGACAGAAGATCTTCCTCTCTGTCTCTCCTCTCTGTATATCTGCCTTTCCAATAAAAAAAATAATAAAAATAAGTCTTTAAAAAATGAAAAATAATAACAAAAAATATTACTGGATAGTCATAAAAGTATTTGTTTACTAATGTTAATGAGAAAATTGTAATGCTCCTAAGTGAACACATTTCTGTTATATATTGAAATCTGATCCATTAGAGGAGCAAGATACTTCATTGGCCTTACATGAGCATTTGAAAAGAAATACTTAGATGTGATTCATGAAAATAGTTGCTTTCTTCCCTCATTTCAGATACCCAGAGACAGTATGAATTGCTTGGAAATCAGAAAAGTCGAGAATTAAACTTCAGGTAAGTAATAATCATCAAAAAACAATGTGAACCCATAAACGTTTAATTATCCAAAATGCATAATTTAAGCACTGGCCATATTTGAAACTGCTAACATGAATGGAAATTGTACGAGAGAAACTTGAATATAATTTATTTCCAAATGTGCTTTTCTTCTAGGAAACGTAATGAGATGTCATTTGGGGAGAAGCATGATGCCTCTGCTGTACCTGGGAGCAGATGCCAATGTAAGGAAAATCAGAGTCAGCATGACAAGATGTACACTGGTCACCAGTTTATTGAACACACTGGGAAAGAGAAAACTTCCTGCAGGAGGAAGACAGTTCTTCCATGTAAGGGGCTTTGTGTCAAGGACACCTGTCGTAAGCCACCTGTTCTTGTGGAAGCAGCCACTCAGGTTGAAAAGAAAACGTCCCATAAAAATCTCTATGAATGCAGTGTGTGTGAAAAATCCTTTGCCAGGAAGTCATTTCTGATTACACATCAGAGAATTCACACTGGGGAAAAACCATTTGAATGTAAAGTGTGTGGGAAAGCCTTTGCTCACAAGTCAGCTTTCAATAGGCATCAGGGAATTCACCCAGGGGTAAAATCTTACAAATCTTACAAATGCAGTGAGTGTGGAAAAGCATTTCGCCAGAGTTCAAGTCTCATTGCACATCAGAGATTTCACACTGGGGAAAAGCCATTTAAATGTGAAGAGTGTGGGAAAACATTTTGCTGGCCATCACAACTAATCAAACATCACAGAATTCACACCGGAGAGAAACCTCATAAATGTAAAGAGTGTGGGAAAGCCTTTTATGACAAATCAAATCTTCTTGCGCATCAGGCAGTTCACACTGGGGAGAAACCTTATGCATGTAGTGTCTGTGGAAAAGGATTTACCCAAAGATCCAGTCTCAATACACATCAGAGAATTCACACAGGGGAAAAGCCTTTTCAGTGCAGAGAGTGCGGAAAGGCCTTTTGTGACAAAGGAAGCTTTGTTAGACATCAGACAGTTCACACAGGACAGAAACCATATGAATGTGAACAGTGTGGAAAATCCTTTTGTGGTAGGTCATCCCTTGTTAGCCATCAGGCAATTCACACTGGGGAGAAGCGTTTTGAGTGCAGTAAGTGTGGGAAAGCTTTTAGCTGGCAGTCAAACCTAATTACACATCAAAGAATTCATACAGGAGAAAAGCCTTATGAATGTAAAGAGTGTGGAAGAGCCTTTTATGATAAGTCATCTCATATTAGACATCAAGCAGTTCACACCGGGGAGAAACCTTTTGAGTGCAATCAGTGTGGAAAGGCTTTTGGTTGGCAGGCAAACCTGAAGACACATCAAAAAGTTCACACACGGGAAAAACCCTATGAATGTAAAGAATGTGGGAAAGCCTTTTGTAACAAGTCATACCTCATTAAGCATCAAGCAGCTCACACAGCAGAGAGGCCTTATAAACGTAAAGAGTGGGAAAACCTTCTGTAATAAGTCATTTGATGAAACGTCAAGAATTCGTACAGGAGAAAGTCGCTTCTTGGCAGCTTTTGAGGAAATTACACAAGAAAAGATTGTGTATTGGAGTATGTGTTCTTAATGTTTTTGCGGTGCAATCTGTGGTCTCTTGTTACGGGAAAATGTAAATGAGCTCTGCCTTCATAATTAATAAATTCTACCTCACTTGTTTGAAATGCCATCATTTTTATTTGCAGTTACTTATTGTAGCTGTTTTACAGTCTTATGGTTCTCCCACATTATTCTACTGCACTAGTATTGCAATCACAGGCATATCAGCTGATGTATGTGACAGATACAACCCACAATTTTGAAGTGACATTTGGTTCAGAGTTGGGAGAAGACTTGCTTTACCTTGTGGAGGTCTTATGATTTTGCCCACATTACCATATGCCAGGATAGGTTGAAACATAGTTAGTATGTTCTAGGGAAAATGTCCTGGGATTGAGCCTCCGCCAGTGTTCACAACTATTTTTCACCTACTAGTGTTACATAATTGGTTAAGCTGCCAGCACATTCCAGCATCCCTATAAGGCTACTTTTCAATTTTTAACTTCTCTAATTCTGATTACAGTTGTCTATTGAACCCAGGAATGTATCAGAAGATGGCCCATGTGATTTCCATGACACCACATAAGAGACCCAGAAGGAGTTTCATGGACTTTGACTTTGACCTGGTATGGTCCCCATTGTGGCTATTTGTGCCTAAAACACTTTGTAGAAGGTTACTTTTCTACATCTCTCATGGCCACTAATTCTTACTCTACTGTATGATCTGGGCACTGTTTTACTTGTAAAGCTTAGTTCAAAGGTGAGGGAATCATAGAAACACTTTAAGCCATTTTCAGGTATGGGGAGGGCTAGAAGGGGAAAAGTGAAAGACAAATATGTCTATGCCCTCTATCCTGTGTCTTCTGGAAAAGAGTCCCTTCACATTGCTGGACCACATATGTGCCTGGAAAGCAGAGTAGTCACTTGATAACTGCCCTCAGTTCTTTAGTGGGGGTGTATGTCTTGTGAGAGTATTGGGTGGGGGTTACATCAGCCAGAGCACAGTAGCTACCAAGCTGTGACCTTAAGCTACCTACATAACTGTCTTGGAGATTTCCTTAGTCCTGAAGGTTGCATCCATCACATACTTAGTTATTTCTTGCTGATTTGCCCATATGAGTTGCTATTGCCAGGTTCTGAAATCTCTGTCATCTAATGGATACCTCTCATGAGCCAGAGTATTTCCAGTCAGTGCCAAAGTATGTATTCCTTCCTTTAATATCACTGCTCTGAGCATTGACAATTGGGCATGGTCCGGTAATTCTGAGGTCAGATCTCATACTTGCTCTAATGTGTGACATTGGAGATCCTGGCGTGTTTATGGGACAGTAAGACATGAGCATGCACTAACTATAAATACACAGAGCTATTAGTGTCCCTCAATAAGTGGGTGCTGTCGCATGGCACGCATTGCTCCAGCATGCTGACAATTGAGCCCCCTAAGCTGGCCACCCCTAACCTCAGTTCTTGTGCATGCTAGTGGATGCAACAGCTTGGCTTGGGGAAGCCTTTGGAACAAGCTCTTTGAGGCTCCCACTCCTGGCTCTCATACATGCTGGTTGGAACAGCTTCCTGGCCTGGAGAGTCCCAAGGGTTTTAGGCCCCCTCCCTGGCCATTGCCTCGCCCTGACTCTCTGAAAACAAGAGTGGGTATCATGACTGATATTGAGGCAAGTCAATTGTTTGAGTGAGAAGCATGTTTCTCATCTATGACCCTTAACCAGTGCCACTACTTCATTGTTAAGAACCATATCAAATCCGGCGCGGTGGCTCAAGTGGTTAAGTCCTCGCCTTGCACGCCTGGGATCCCATATGGGCGCCGGTTCTAATCCCGGCAGCCCCGCTTCCCTTCCAGCTCCCTGCCTGTGGCCTGGGAAGGCAGTTGAGGACGGCCCAAAGCTTTGGGACCCTGCACCCGCGTGGGAGACCCGGAAGAGGCTCCTGGCTTCGGATCGGCATAGTATCGACCCGTTGCGGCTCACTTGGGGAGTGAATCAACGGATGGAAGATCTTCCTCTCTGTATCTCCTCTCTGTATATCCGCCTTTCCAATAAAAAATAATAAAAATAAATCTTTAAAAAAAAAAAAAAAAAAGAACCATATCAGGGCCCAAAAAGCTGAACATCAAGGGCAAGAGAGGCAACTTTTGCTGAAAAGTTACCCATTTAGCAATAATCCACACCTTATTTCACATGCAGAATGAGTTTTATGTATTCCTAAGTGCTTTTCCCCAGAGCTCTCTTGTGAGCCTCCTCAATGGCCAGAGCTGAACCCATCCAAGCCAGGACCCAGGAGCTTAATCCAGTGGTTGCGTGATCCCATGGTGTTGGCCATCCTCTTCTACTGCTTTCCCTGACCACAAGCTGGGAGCTGGAGCAGCTGGAACACAAACCAGCACCTGTAAGGGATCCTGATTGGTGCAAGGTGAGGATTTAGACACTGAGCCATCACACCAGGCCCAGTTAATATTTGTAATTTGAAAGCCCTGACTATAAGATTCTGTGTAATTAAACAGCAGAGGAACACAGACATTTCCTAACCCACTGTTTGATTTCTCAATCCCAAGAAAATTTAAGATAGCCCATGCGAAGCCAAGAACTTAGGAATTCCTTGCAAATCCTCCTTCAAAGCTCTTTACCCACAATTCATTCCTCCCCCCACCACAGGCATATTATCAGGTAAATTAATCATGAGGTCTAATGACAGTATTACATGAATAAGAGGTACTTTACCCACGGTGTACAAGTGTTGCCCTCTAATCTTTGATTTTTAAACTTTGGTTTTAAACTAACAATGCTAACGTTACAAAATTCTCTCCCCCATTGGTGACCACACAAGTAAACCTGCTTTTGCATAATTTGGTGTTTCTAATCTGTGCTGTGTGGAAAATCATATGTGTTATGACCCTAAGACCAGTGTGATGCTATGGACTTAAAAGCAGGACTAGTTTTAAGATGGGAATTTAAATTTTTAAGTTTTAGTTTTTTAAGGATTTATTCTTTTTTTAATGATTTATTTTTATTGGAAAGTCAGATATACACAGAGGAGGAGACACAGAGAGGAAGATCTTCTGTCGGATGACTCACTCCCCAAGTGGCTGCAACGGCTCGAGCTGAGCCAATCTGAAGCCCGAAGCAATGAATTCTGCCAAGTCTCCCGCACAGGTGCAGAGTCCCAAGGCTTTGGGCCATCCTCAACTGCTTTCCTAGGCCACAAGCAGGGAGCTGAATGGGAAGTGGAGCTGCCGGGATTGGAACTGGCCCCCATATGGAATCCTAGGTGTACAAGGCAAGAACCTTAACCACTATGGTATCATGCCGGGCCCCCTTATGTTTTACTTTTAATCTTTCAAAATACATTAGACTTCTTTTTAAAGCAACGTGTTTGCAAAAGTTTACTTGTGTCTTTGTTGAGATGTTATATGAGAAAATTCAGAGGTCAGCTATGATTATGTCAGTTGTTGATTTATAGTTCTGAAATCATAGGCCATCTAATATTTCTTTTCAAATACCTAAATCTAATCCACTTATAATTGTAAATATTGTCACTACTTAGCAGAATCCTGAGGCTTCCCAAAAAGCCTTAGATCCTTCTTCAATTTGAGCACCAGCTGGGTTTTCTAATATACATTATTTGCTTTTGCATGTTTTTCATGAATTTCCATCTTTCATTATTTGTATTTAAAACCAAATTTCTAAGGCCCAGCACAGTGGCCCAGCAGCTAAAGTCTTTGAATGCACTAGGATCCCATATTTGCGTCGGGTCTAATCGCGGCACCCCTGCTTTCCCAGGCCACAAGCAGGGAATAGGATGGGAAGTGGAGCAGCCAGGACAAGAACTGGTGCTCCTATGGGATCCTAGCTCTCTTGGGACGCAAGGATTTATATATCGAGCCATCATGTCGGTCTCCAATATTTTTTCAAATCATATACAAAATTTGAAGTGAACCAAAAGAAATGAAATCTAGAGAAACACACACACACACTCCGAAACGTTTAGCTCATGCAGAAAGATTTTCCAGCAGAATCCCAGGAGGGGAGACTCGCCTGCAGTGGCACCTGCAGTACTTGCCCCTCGGCACCTGCTGGGCACGGCCGACCACAGAAAGAAGGGAGGGTTTCCGCAGCTCAGCCCCGCCTTCGGGCTCCACCCACTACCAGCCTAGCACCTGCCCGGGACCGCCCCCATCCCAGAGGCGCTCCCGATTGGCTGCGTCCTCTGGCGCTCCCGATTGGCTGAGTCCTCTGGGACGTGCTGGGCAAGCCGACCAATCAGAGGGGTCAGAGTAACGCCGTGCAATCCCGCGGGATCTTCTTTCTTCCTCGAGGTCACCCTGATTTCCTGAGGTCCGGCCGCCGGCGAGTGTTCTAGAACGCCCACGCCGAGGGCGTTCCTGAGCAGTTCCCCGGCCGCGCTGCAGTCCGACGGCGGTGAGTGTGTGTGTGGAGAGTCCCCTGCGGCCGGGAGGGCGCCGGCTGAGGGCAGAGTGCTGTGCGGGCAGCTGTGTGCGTGCGGTGCGTGTCCGCTCCGCCGGCGCGGGGAGGTTGGCGTGGCGGCGGGGCTTCCTGTGCGGTGTTCCTGCTCGGGGAAGCTGTGCGCTCTGGGTGCTCTGCGCCTCGGTTCCCGCAGGTGCAGGCGTGGCTGCGTCGGGCTGGGCCACGGGGCTCCCCAGGCAGCGCTCCCGGCACGGCGTGTCCGTGTGTGTGTGTCCCGGGGCGTGCGAGGGGCAGTGTTGCTGAGTTGTGTGTTCTTTCGGAGAAGGTTTTGTTTGGCTCGGGGCTTTGGGGAAGGTGGAGAAGCAGCATCTTGGTGTTGACCTTGTTGGCAGAGGTTATACAGGGACCCGCACTCCAAGGAAGGGGGCGAAGGGGACAAAAAAGAGGCTTCTTGGAATACCTCTCCCGCTCCCTGCAGCTGGCACTTAACTCGTTAACCACGTGAATTTTTTTTTAGCCTAATCACCTTTGGAAGTTCTCACCGAGTCTCAGCTGTTGTGTGCTTTTTGTTTTGTTTTGTTTTTTCGATTTATTTCGTTTTTATTGGGAAGTCAGATATACAGAGAGAAGGGAAGACAGAGAGGAAGATCTTCCTTCTGATGATTCACTCCCCAAGTGAGCGCAACAGC